ATTCTAAAGAATTTCACATAGCATGGCTTGCCCATTTATCTATCTATCGATACATATTGCATACAATATAATACACATATATACGTTATGTGATTAATACATATAAATATATTTATATAGAACATATACGGGCTTTCTCCAGATATATCAAATACGGTAATCTAAAAATCTCCACAATAACGAACAATTTAGTTGTTTATGGCAATAAAGCTGTTTTTCGAATTAAGTATTGTTTTTTTTGTGACTACCACTAAATCAGTAATATGAGATGTATTCTCCCAATTTCGTATAAGGTGATAAAGGACTGGTGGAAGAAAAATTTTCCCACAATGATATGAGTTGAGCTATGTGAAATTAAATGGTATTGGCAGTTCAACTCATATGATTGTGGGAAAATTCTTCTTCTACCAATCCTTCATGACCTTAGACGAAATTGGGTGAATACATCTCATAATAAAGTTGTTTGCCTTCTTCATCCGCTATAACTCGATTTTATCATACCAAAATAAAAAATTTTATATAAATATATACACATAATTTAACAATATTAATCTTATCATACGTATATAAATTATTCAATATTCAATAGTATATACGATAGTTTTAAAAATAATAATATTATTAGTTTATTATAGATATTATTGCGTATACATAATGTACACAATATACATTCTATGCTATATAATACAATAATATTAATTAATATTTATGAGCATTTCAATGGTTAATACAAGCGGCATGCTGTCATCATATGCTGCCCTCGACCCGAGTTTGAGTCTTTTTGTGGTTGCTAACGCGATACCGAGACGAATGAATCACAGAGCATATGGGGCAGCCAGGTTGTGTGAAATTTGTATGTACAAAAATAGCTGTGTTTCGTAGAATCCATTAGCGTCACTCGAATGTTGAGTTTGAATAAAAATTTGATTGGAATCAACTCGTTAATTGGTCTCACCGGAACCTGAACTAAGATTGTCTTGGATTGAAGATTGTTAAGATTTTGCTCTTCTGAAGACTTCAGCATTGCATGCATGCATTAAACAATACCACAAGTCCAAACGTGCGTCAGGAGTAGTGCACGATTTATAAAAACGACTGCGGCCACATCGTCTTCATCTTCATCAATCCACTTGGCCCACTTGCATGCACTTTGTGTGAGCATGAAGTAGCCAACCAAATCACACGAGGCCTCCTTAAGAGGTCCAAATTGGGTATACGTAATGAGCAGTGTTAAGGTCGGCAACCCTTTTTTCAGTCGAGCTCACTTCCAGTTCTAATGACAATGTATGCCTGATGCAAAGATTGTAAATATTCAACCAACCAATTGTCAGTTGGCTTTATTCTAACCTTCTCGATGAATGTTGTCGCCGAGACAATATCGTTCGATTCCGGTGAAAACATGCTAAGACTAAGTCCATGATGTGACGGAAATCACAACAACTTGGTATCATTCTTCAGCCGTATTCAAGCTCAGTCAAGAAAATTCGCCGGCCTATCCATAAATGCTGTATGTGAACCCTAAATATGTGTATTATAATGTGTTATTAAGTAATTTGGTTAGTTAAAGTCATTGTGTGTGTGTGTGTGTGTGTATAGGCACTAAACCAAAAGGAAAATCATAAAATAATTTGAACAGAACATAATTCCTATTTGCTAGTACCGCCGGCTTCAAACATATGCGTTCACGTAAAGGTACATAATCACACACAAATAGATAGACAAACATGTTTTTAGATTGACACTTTATATTTCGTCAAAATGCACTCATTTTTATGGTACATTTGCAGCATTTAGGGATAATCCGATGAATTTCCTTGACGCAGCTTGTCCTAATGATGTCCGACACGTGATGGACGAAAGCTTAGTGAATACAAACAGGCGCATAGACATACGGAGACAGACACACGCACAGGCTTCGAGGTTGACATGTGACCTTAACCAACCTAATCACTTTACAACTTGATCAAAGGGGCCAGATGTAAAGTAGATATACCACTTTTTAGGGATTTGTCGGTGAGTTTTCATGACTCGTTAGCTTCAATTTTGTTGTGAAGATGATACTTTGCTCTGATGATTTTGGTCATGTGACGTTTCACCGGACTCGAAAGAGATTGCCTCGGAAATAGCGTCGCCATGAATGTTGTAGTAAAGCCAATCGACAACCTGGTCGAGAGGAATCCGCCATCGTCTTCTGGTGGAACCGATCTTCAAATATCTCCACCCCCAACACTTTCACTCGAAATAGAAGTAAGCTCAACAATTATGAAACAACAGATTCCGCGAAACGCAACTTTGCTTCGCCGGAATCGAAAAAGATTGACTTGGAGACAGCGTCACTGAGAATGTTCCAGAAAAGCCGGCCAACATCTGGTCGAGTGGATTTCACTGTCACTTTTGCTGGAAGTCGAGTTGAGCTCAACAAATATTAATCAGACGTTGATTGAAAGCCAACTATTTTCGTATAAACACCTTTTTTTATGTTGCTTTATTGTATACGACTTTTACTTGGAATAAAATAAACTCATCTTTTGTATGAACATTAGCGGAGTTTCTAAGAATCCTTTTTTAACTGGAATTTCAATTTGGGCTGATCGGCAGTTCTTCGGTTTCCGGCAAGACAACTTGACAATAACTTGCAACCAACTTGTCCCTCAAAAAGAATTGTCATGATACAATAAAGCATTATGTGTAGAACGATTGACTTTCGAAGAATCTCTCTGCGATGTGGTGTGACACGACTTTTCATCTCGAATGAAGGACTCGAATGCAAGGAACTCGTGAATTTGTCAAAATCAAAAACCGAATAAGTATCACTTTGAAGTGGATATCGTCGGATTGCGACAAGAAGTCTTCGGTTCATCGTTCTATGCCTTCAACGAAACTGAGCCCGGCCTTCGTCTGTACCACCGGAACCAACCCTGTGACAGGCGAAAACCATCATTTATGAAAAAAAACACACCAAAAGTGGACCACTCACATTTCTTGGCTCACTGCATTTGGAATGAGAAGTTGGGTTTCGAGGAATCTCTTGTTTCATAATTGTTGAACTTATTTCCATTTCAAGTGAAAGTGAAGAGACTCGAACTGCCGTTCCACCAGAAGACGACGGCCGATTCCTCTTGACCGGCTGTCGATTGGCTTTACTGCAACATTCATGCCGACTTTGTTTCCGAGGTGATCTCCTTCGATTCCGGTGAAAAGGTCCGTCATATGACGGACATCCTCAGAGTGAATTAACATAATCACAACAAAATTCAAGTGAACGAGTCAAAAAAACTCACCGGTAAATCCCTAAAAATGGTATATCTACTCTACATCTGGTCGCTTTGATCAAGTATAAAGTGATTTGGTTAGTTACGGTCACATGTCAACTTCGATGCATGTGAGTGTGTCTGTCGCTGTATGCATATGTGCCTATTAGTGTTAGCTAATGCACCAAGTTCGAGTCTCTTCACCCAACACTTTCACTCAAAATGGAAGTAATCTCAACCATTATTGCATTTGTAACATAATTTTTCGTAAACGAAAATTTATTACTGATTTATCAAAGCTCTAAAAATCCGCGGCAAGTCTCCGTTGGTTTCCATCAACATTTTCTTCAAGATAACATTTCATGTAAAAACGAGTCACTTACTCATACCCTAAACATATACATTCCTATGTGATATGTGTTGTTTTGGCTGGTTTACGTGACATTTCAATATGTGTGTGTGTGTGCGTCTGCTAAAATGGGATAATTGTTAGGTTGGTATTCTATTCCGGGAAATATGGTCTTGTGAACTTACGAAAGGGTAACATGTGATAAATGGGATCCCCAGACACACACAACAATCCATGCCTGTTCGGTTTGTCAGTGAACCTCTTCCAAGCGATATTTCCTTCCGAATGCCAAGCTCTCTGGCGCCAAACGACACGAGTTCTTCTGCTGCTTGAATGTGCAAAGCAAATGGTGTCGAAATGTCTTTCGACCAATCGTTTCTTTCTACCCGCAAACTCGAAGCAGACACAATCCTCTTTGGTCGACAAGCGGACGAGCCGTTTGTCCGCTGTCCGGTTGTTCAGGGAGAAGGGTACATTTGTAAAAACCGCCTCGTCTTACCCGATCGTGGAAGGCTGGCGAAGCTGTCGCCATGCAGACGGCCAGCAACATGACGACGAGGCAGACGAGCAGCGCCAGATGAGACGGCGTCATGTGGCCGATTGAAGCTTTCATACTTTCCGCGGCAGACGGTGGCGACGAAGAGGCGAGTCGGTGTCCAAGAGACCAGAATGCCGCCTTGGCCATTCTTATAGCGAGACCAGTTGGTCCGTTCCACCCGGCAACCGGGCAACCGGGTCGGCAACCGGCCGTCCGACCAATGGACGACCGAGGATGGAGGCGATGACGAGAGCACCGTCGAGGCAGACGCTCACTGGCTGGAGGGAACATGTGGAGAGGGTGAGTGGGACATTGCTGCAGGATTGGTGGGCAATCGGGTTGGAATGGGACCTTGAAGAGAGAGAGAGAGGGATTGTGTAGTGGGAATAACACATCGACAAGTAGACAAACACATAAATGGGTAAACAAATAGACAGACGAGATGAGGGATGAAATGGATAGGAGGGATACGGAAAGAAAGAGTCTCAGATTGGGGAAGGTGTGATGGGGCAGCAAGTAGGTGGGAATGCAAAGAAATGTGCATTTTGAGCACTCTGCAA